GTCGCTTAAGCGATCAAGTCCAAGGTAGAATGAAGTCATCCCAGATGCATGATCTCTTAAGCAATTTATGTATTACTTAAGCGATTCTTGACTTTTAGCCTTGGTCGCTTAAGCAATTTACGATCGCTTAAGCGATCAATTTCAAAGTAGAATTAAGATCATCCCAAATATACGATTGCTTAAGTGATTTATGTATCACTTAATCAATTCTTTACGTTTAGCCTTGGTCGCTTAAGCGATTTAGGATCAATCAAGCGATCAAATCCAAGGCAAAATCAAGATCATCCCAGATGGACGATCGCTTAAGCGATTTAGGTTCTCGCTTAAGCGATTCTTTACTTTTAGCCTTGGTTGCTTAAGCGATCAAGTCCAAGGCAGAATCAAGATCATCCCAGGTGCATGATCACTTAAGCGATTTACGGTCTCGCTTAAGCGATTCTTCATTTTTAACTTTAGTCACTTATGCGATCAAGTCCAAGGCAGAATCAAGATCATCCCAGGTACACGATCGCTTAAGCGAATATATATAGTCGCTTAAGCGATCATGGGCAACATTTATTTTTTTCAGCTTTTCTCCTGAATTTTGACAAACTAAAATCACCAACACATATTAATTTCATATTTTCTCCTGAATTTGATAACCTAATTGCATCAACACATTAATGTCATTTAACAAGAATATTAAATAAACTCAAACTCAAAAGAGGGAAAGAAATACTGAATTGCCTTTTATACAAATCTGAAATGTGTCAATTACATTAAATTACAACATTATATACAACAAATAAATGTCTTATATACACCCAAAAAAAAAGCAGCGCCGGCAGCCTCCATCCTCCCTCTTCATCATTCTCTTCAACCACTTCCCCATCCTCCACAATTATCCAACACACCTTTAGCATTAGCAACATCAGCAGCAGCCTCTTCGTCTTCTTCTACAACACCCCTTTCAACATTATCTAGCCTTGGCCTTGGCCACAAAGCATACATAACACCACAACCCAAGTATCAACAGTCCGACGCTTAACAACACCAGCTGATTCAATTCAAGACAATTTAATTATTCAAGACAACCCAATAAGAAATGCATTTCGCATAAACTACAAAATTCTAAGTTCAACTTCCTTACCTTTTGATGACAACATCAACAATGACTTAGATTGGGTTCTGGTCAGTCAAAAGGGATCCATATGCTCATGGAAACACTCAATAGCCAACCGCTCACGAAAGTTGCTAACTGTTTCATCATTCAACCTGTCCTTTGGGGTGTTGGTCATGTCGAACTCAATAAATTTTAGTGCATATGCTCAGCAATCAGCACAATAATAGGAGGAAGACATTAGCATTAGAATCAGCTTATAGAACAATTGTATTATGTAAGTTTTATACAAAATTTACCTCGAGTCATTTATCGGGACGGGAAGCGCTTGAGTGGCCCCACGTTCCCATCAGTATTTCATCACCCAAGTGCTGAAACATCTCGTTGTCGCGCAACAACCGCGGGAACAATATACACAACGGTTGCAACTCTGTCTCCAACTGCCTCTCTCGACAAATACTCAGGTTGCAATCAAGGATCTGCAGCAAGCCCTCCTCTAATACCTAAAAGACGGTTATCTAATACATATCCTTGATGTCCATGATACAGTATACTCTTTTAGCGTTTTCCCAACTGTTGCCATATTTTGGCATTTCCCCCCATACATCCTGTCATCAAACCAAAAATCATCTAGGACACCATCGAAGTCATCTGTGGCTAATCTTTTCTACTTGCCTGGCCTTGTTGCATCTCCACCATTGGCCTTTTTCATTAAAGTGTCATATGTAGTTACTAGCATTTGGCTAAAGGCTACATCGGTGATGGCATAGTGCGGATACAAAATATTACAATTACTGCTCTATCATAGCTCATAAGTGCCAATATCTCATCAATGTGTTGCATCAAATAAAAACAATATGATAAGTATACAATACCTCATCGAAAACATAAGCAAAAATAAACAAAAATAAAGGAAAATAACTCACCAAGTCGTCGAGCTACCTACCCATTGTCAACATCTTTTCAAAGCACTGCCGGGGATAATCCTCTTTTTTACACTTCACACGCCCATCACTTCCAAAATCATTGTAATAGGCATAGAAGAGTTTTTTTCTTTTCCTCATTTATTGGCCTATACAAATCGACATTTAACTCCTCCGTTTTCATTTGCCCACTTCATCTGCCTTCCTCATCACCCTCCTCCATTTTTACTTCCCCACTTTTTTCGCGTCCCGCCTCACCCTCCTCCATTTTCACTTCCCCGCTTCCTCCGCCTTTCTCCTTACCCTCCATTTTTGCTTCTCTACTTTCACGGGCTTCCTTAGGTTTTTTCTTCGTTTTCCTCTTCTTTCTATATGTTACTGTCGTGTAAGGAGATTTTACGTGCTTACTCTTTCGGCTCTCTCTTTTATGCTCGGGTTACACTTCAACCACTTTCAATACCCCCCCCCCCCCCCAACTTTCTCTGCCACCCTATCAACTTCCTCTTCCACACTTTTCATCCGCTCTTCCATCTTCTCAAACCTCTCATAAATGGTTGTTGTAAAACTCTCAAACAGACCATTTATGAGGTCAACCATCTAATTCTCCTGACCCCGACGCCTCGGCAGAGCGATACTCGTTGTACCGGTTTGCCAACTGGGTGGAGGCATACGAACCTCTTCATCCTCCTCCTCCTCTTCCCTCCCGCCGATTGGAGCTTTATCATCCTTGGTGTCAACAACATTCTCAAGCAGTGGCCTTGCAACTGTACTCACATGCGTGACCCCTTCTAGGTCCCGCATTAGGCGGTCTATCCCTTCATCTACTGTATCGTCCAGTTCTTTAAACGATGTAACATACTCCTCTTCCACTTCACCCCTAGTAGCAGTGAGGAAGAGACGGATGACTCCCTACAATAAGAAAAAAAATCAATCAAATTTAAGTTACATTTAAAAAGCAAGTGCATATTCAAAAGATTAATCATTTAATCTTACCCGAGCCGCTTGAATTTCCATGTATATTTTGTCATAATCCCAAGGGGAACACTTCTCGATGTGCCACTGCAACATCCTAGGAAATTGTGGTCACTCATCTGAAGTCTTCATCCTCCCCCCCACCTTAGCCAAGACAAGGATGGCCTCATATATTCAAGCCTATGTTGTAAAAAAATAGTCCATATCATAATTAAAACACATATAATACAAAAAATATAACAAAGAGCTATTAATATTTACCTGTATTGCCCATGGGAAGCCAAACAAATTGTACATACTCGGTCTATTCTTCTCGACAGATTGGCAATGCTTTAACGCTATGTCTTTTCCTTACAAGGAGTCCATGGTTAGTTGAAATAATACCCGTCCCCATGGATAAGCATTAAAGAAATCTATGTTGCTTGCAAACTTTACCCAATCCATATTAACGACTTTTGTTGAGTCAGAAGCCATTAGGATTGAATGCACGAACCATACCAAACACATCTTAAACCTCTCTGAAGAGGTATATCCACCTTCTCCTAACCTCTCCTCTAAATTGCGTCCCGTAATAGACGCCTTCCCCCTGAAAACCTTTCTAGCCAATTTATCGGCTGCCCTACTCTTCTTTATTCTTTTTTGCTTTTCCGCATCTGGAAATGCCCCATATCTTAAGCATGTCATTAGGGCATATTTCATCATCCCAAAACGTAGTGGCTTCCTATCCACCATGAATCACATTTCTTTTTTTTTTTTTTTTTTTTGGCTTTTAACTGAGTGCAGTAACATATAATGCACTCCCTGCTCCCAGAATGCCTTTTTCCAATTTTTCCCGATGTTCACAAAATGACTGAAACAACTCTCTTTGAATCGGTCCATACCCTTCTATTGTTCCTGTAAAATCTCTATTATTCTCGTAAAAACTTGCCAACTTGACCTAACTATCACCCTTACGGGGAAGTACAGTACCTTATCGCTTACAGCCTCCAACCCATAGTCTTTATAATTTACGCTTCGAAAAATCTACACAATTGATACAAACTAAATATCAGCAAAAAAAAAAAAAAAAAAAAAAAACAACTAATAGGCTGCCAATTTGGGGACATGGTCTTCGAGAGCATTGGAGAGTGAGTGTTTTTGGCCTCGAGAGGACTGGGAAAGTTAATGCTTACCCTATAGAGGCTGTTGTGGCAAGTTCCACGAGGTTGGAGGGCTGAGGATGGTAGGAGGTGGAGGAACTCCCACAAACAACCTCCCTACGGCCTCCTTTGCCTTCCACCATCCTTTGGAACCCAAACAAAGCCACTCCCCTGGTGCCTACCAACTATTGGACAAAACATCACAACCACCATAACAATAAAACCAACTACATATCCTCCAAATTCGCACAAATCAATCAAATTTCTCATCAAATTCAAAACAAGTAAAAAACTTACCCTTTCTTCACCGGCGTCCTCCTCCTCTCCTGAATTCTCGCCGACGTCCTCCTCTTCAAAACCATTTTCTGATTCTTCTCTCTATTCTTGTGTCGCCGTTGTCTCCTCTGGCTCTGGACCACCTTGACTCATCAGATGATCCACCAAAGCGTCTTCTTCAACAGCCTTTGAACAGCAGCCGCTGCCAGAGTCTAAGATTTGGAGTAGAGTTGGGTTTTTCTCCTCTTTGTGAATATCAGCCATGATTTTGTGTAAGAAAGCTTTAGGATCGAATATTTGCCAAAAATAGGAAACTTTTATAGTTGGAAATCACAGAGAAATCAAAGGTGTTCATCAGTCGGTTTTTAGGGTATATGGCTCAATTAAGAGATTTTAAAGGGTGGGGATTGTTTTTAATTTTTAAAATTTAAATAAATTTCCGTTAATTATAATATTACCTATATATATTAAAATCTTTTAAGTTTAACCTGTTTTATATATTTAATGAATTTTAAACGTGTCACGTCAGTTTTTCTAACTTAAAAAAATTGTAAAATATTTTCAGGTTATTTTCTTAAACATAAACTTGTCACGTCTGGCAAGTTAAATTTCCTCTCAATTTCTTGCCTACCAAGCCGCCACTGAGACCTCTCCTTGAACAGAATCAAAATTTTCTTCTATCCCCTCAAAATCCCACCTTTTAAATTCTTCGAACAGCTTCCAACCAACAAATCTCATTTTTTTCAACAAAGTTTTGATATTTGTTGCTTAATTTCAAGTTCAATTAATTTTCTTTACGTTTTCCCGGCAACCAAACAGACTCTTAGAAAATGCCAAACGCAATGAGTTCAATTCAAAGTCCTCTCCAGATGTCAATCTCCGAATCAACCAATCTCCGGTGTCGTATTAGTCTCGAAGGTCGAGGAAACGTAATCAAATTCAACAACGGCGTGAAAAGAGCGACCACGGTATCGTGTCTCGGCGTGCACGTGGCGGATTCATGTGAGAGCGTGGGGGTGGGTAAGAGCAGCAAGGAGGTTATGGAGGCGGAGAAGAAGGTGCTGGTGGGGACGTACGCGAGGATGCCGGCTGTACTTGTGAGTGGCAAGGGATGTAAATTGTATGATGTTGAAGGACGAGAGTACTTGGATATGACTTCGGGGATTGCTGTGAATGCGCTTGGACATGGTGATGATGATTGGGTCAAGGCTGTGGTTGACCAAGCTAATTTGTTGACGCATGTCAGCAATGTGTATTACTCCATCCCTCAGGTTTTAATAGCTTTAATTTATTGTTTAAATTCTGAATTATTTTGGTCTTAATTTGGTGCAAGTTTGGTTCAAGTAAGACAGCTTTTGAAAGTGAGTTTGATTAAACTATGAGTTAAGAAATATGTTAAAGTATGCATTAATGATTCTTTTTATTTTTTATTTTTTGGTTATTGAACAATAAAAATCTAAGAAGTCGTGTTTGTTTATGGGTTAGAAAAGTGAATGAATTTGTATAGAAGCTGGAGTTATATAAATTACTTGTCTTTGTCTATAACAGTAGTTGAAACTACTGCAGAAATGAGTTTTACAGAACTTACTATTTGTTGTGCTTTGAGTCAACCGGGTATTTTCTACTTTGGTAAGTCTTCTTATGGCTAATATCGGTTATGTTATTGTTGTAGATAGAGCTTGCTAAGCGTCTAGTGGCTTCTTCTTTTGCTGATCGTGTGTTTTTCACCAATTCGGGAACGGAAGCAAATGAAGCAGCTATTAAATTTGCCAGGAAGTTTCAGAGACACTCAAATCCTGATGCGAAAGAGCCAGCCACGGAGTTCGTAGCTTTCTCCAATTGCTTTCATGGAAGGACCATGGGTGCTCTTGCTCTGACAAGCAAGGAACACTATAGGTCACCTTTTGAACCTGTCATGCCTGGGGTCACTTTTGCGGAGTATGGAAATATAGAAGCCACCAAAAAACTGATTCGGCGTGGCAAAACTGCAGCAGTATTTGTGGAACCCATCCAGGGTGAAGGAGGCATATATAGTGCAACAAAAGAATTTTTACAATTTCTACGTAGTACTTGTAATGATGCTGGGGCTCTTCTTGTCTTTGATGAGGTAATCAGCTCTCTCCTTATTGTTACATCCACTAAATAACGGCTATATGTTGGATTTGTGCAAGATGAAGTTTTGGAAACACTATGCAATTTAAGATCAATTTCCTCCAATGCTCAACCATAATAACCTACACGCTTGTTTTTCTGAATGGGTGTGTTCCAATAAGAAAACAAAAGAGAAAAGAACTCTGTTTGACTCATCTTCTAAACCTTTCCTATTGGTTCCCCTATCCCAGTCTCATCTGTTTAATTTTTTGGAGCTTGGCTTTTAGACTTTTTGTATTTGATGTTCCATTTTCTTTGCCTTTAAGTGGTTGCCCATGTCAATAAAATTCAGCAAGTTCAAACATTTCTTGTATATAACATCATAATGTCACCTCAAAAAACTGCATCTTCTAGCTTACATTAGTTTGTCTAAGACCTTTGTGCTTTCCAGTTGCCTCTATCAATCCCCTGATACTTGATACACACTGATGCTTGTCCAAACAGTGAAGGACATCCTTTGAAAAGTGAAAGATCCCTGACTAAACACTTCTACCTTTCCTCAGGAATATCAAAATTATAAATAAGGACTAATTGTTCTAAGCAAGTTGCCAAGTTCAATTTACATTTACCAAACTTTCCACATTCATATTCAGCTTATTCTTCCCCTTTCAAGCCACTGGTTCAACAAATTCAAGACTAGACCCATTTTCCTTGTCTCTGATCCTCCACAAGTTGTTTGAGAGGTACCTTTAAAGTTTATAAAAGACTACGACTGGCAACTTGCTTATTATCGCTTGTGGAATCATTAATATTTGCTGTGATATTTTTTCCAATGACGCATATGGATTTACTTGTAGTGTTGTATTGATATAATTGTGGTTGTGGTATAACTCTTGCAAGTTGCTGGAAATTGGTCGATGCAGTTTGTCATGGTCATCCGATGTATAATAGATTTCTCGGCAAATTGGTTAATTTAACTGGTTTTCATCTTTTCACCTTTCTATTTGATTTTTTTGGCTGAAAGATCAAATACAAAGACCAAATTTAGTGCTCTCGCATCACTATTCATCTTATCATGTCATTGTATAGATAGGGGCAGAGAGAAATTTAATCTGCTCAGGGTTTTCCATGTTTCAAATACACAAAAGACACTTTTATTCCAAGAGCTAGAATTAGCATCTACTGCTTTTCTTCATCAATGACTTCCCTCAATTATATGTTGCTCTTTATGATTCTGTTGACCATAATTGATTGTTATTCCCCTTCTAATTCCATTCTTTGCTCATGCTGCAGGTTCAATGTGGTTTAGGCCGGACTGGATACCTTTGGGCACACAAGTTCTATGGTGTCTACCCAGATATAATGACCCTTGCCAAACCTCTCGCTGGAGGTCTACCCATTGGAGCTGTTCTAGTGACTGAACGAGTTGCTTCTGCCATAAATTACGGTGACCATGGAACTACTTTTGCCGGCAGTCCCCTAGTCTGTAATGCTGCCATTGCTGTTCTAGACAAAATCTCGAAACCTGGTTTCTTGGCCAGTGTCTCCATGAAAGGCCAGTACCTCAAAGAAACTTTAAAGCAGAAGCTTGGAGGAAATCCCCATGTCAAAGAAATACGTGGGCTTGGGCTTATTATCGGAATCGAGTTGGATGTTCCTGCTTCTCCCCTCCTAGATGCATGCCAAGAATCTGGCCTCCTTGTACTCACTGCCGGAAAAGGCAACGTTGTCAGGCTAGTGCCTCCATTGATAATAACAGAGCAAGAGCTCGATCATGCAGTTGAAATTCTACACAAATCCTTTCCAGTTCTCGACTCTAATTCAAACTAGGAAAAAGAAAATTGCAGCATAGTTGCAGTTGAAGGATTCAATCCTTGAATTAACAGTTTATGTTTTAACACCTTCATATGATGAAAACTGTTGGCACCTAAAGCCAAGTTGTGCTTCTTATTATTTATGAGAAACCAGTTATTTTAGATCAAATTGATTCAAATCTCTCAGTTTTCTGAGCCACGTTGATGCCAAATATCAAACTTATCAAGTTTTATACGTCTTAACATAGGGTTTATTACCCTGTCACCCCTGAGGTTTGGTGTGAAAACTTTTTCCTTCCAAATTTAGGAAACTAACACTCTCACCCCCAAATTGTAATTTGCTCAGTTAAACTTAACGGTGAAAGATTTTTTGATACACCGACAACCGTACCAAATCGTTACCAAATATGGTATATGACCAGCTAAGCAATGCAAGAAAATTGGTGGGTAAGGTTACACGATGACTAAGTAATGCAAGAATGGGTAAGGTAACATGACGGAATAGGATATGGTTGATCTATGTGTTTGTTTCAATTTTTTTTCTCTATCTTACTCAAAATATACGTTTGTTTTCCTATTCTGAAAATACTATTCTATTTTATTAAATCATTTTTAAACTCCCTAGATTTGTTAATTTAATTAAACACCCCCCAATAAAAGTTTAAAAATTGACAAAAACACCCTCATCTATCCACATTTGACAGATTTCGGCCACCACTGTTGGAGGTGGCCGGAATCTGGTATAATGGGACACTACCGACTGGACATAGACGGTAGTGTGCCGATCTAGCCTTTTCCGGCTAAATCTACCATGGATCTAGCCGGAAAAGGCCAACTCTACAGCCGAAGATCTAGCCGTTGCTAGTCGTCAACGACGACTATATCTTTGGCTATCGTTGACCACCAAACGCGGCCTGATCATTACTGTCAATGGCCAGATCTAGTCGTAGATCTAGCATTTTCCTCTTAAATCCGCGGTAGATCTAATTGGAAAAAGTCATATCAGCGCACGAACGGCTAGATCTAGCTAATCGTGCATCGATATGGCGACTTCGACCATCCTTCGGCGGTGGTAGTCGGCTGTCGGTATTTAATGGATGGATGGGGGTGTTTTTATTAATTTTTAATGTTTTATTATAAAAGTGTTTCATAAATTAACAAATATAAGAGTTGTATATAAGAGTTGTTTTTGTTAATTTTTAAATTCTACCTCGTGATGATTACCCAACTTTATTTTATTTTTAAATACAGTTCTAAAAAGCATAAGAATAATAAACTAAAGGCACCCTAATTAGGACAAAAGTTTGGCGGGATTAAACCACATGATGCCATCTGGCATTCAAAACTCTCAAAAATTTTAAAAAACCTAAAATATCATAATAATATAAATATATAATTACACCCTCAATCATTTTACACATGACACCCAACCAGCATACTCCTCCACACTTTACTAATCACACCGCTATAATTGCTCTTCGTCCCCACACAACAGTACAATACACGCTCTGTATAA